AAAAGGCCTTTCTACGCTGGGGCTGGGTAGAGGCTGTGGATGTTATTTTTGGCCCCTAACAGTAGAGGAAGACCGTACCTCTCGGTCTGGGGAAGAAGAATGTACAGAATTGAAACAGATGGAGATCCCCAGTGGTTTTCCCTACAAAAAGTGGAAGACCGTGTGCTCTTTGACACGCTGGAGCCTCACTGGACATCATCTACTACTCGGGCCCGCTTTGCCACAGATGCTGACTGCGGATGAGTCGGGAGGTTTGGGAAGGTCATCTGGACACTCCTGGAGGAGATGGGGATGTGAAACCAGCAACTTGACTAGGAACTCACCCTCTGTGAGCCAGCCTCTTACAATGTGTGGCTGTCACAACTCTTAGGATATCCCCTCGTATTCCAAACCCAGTTATGCCACCCGGTAACTTCCCTTTGGAGAAACAAAAAAAATAAGGCTCCTCCGTTGGCTTTCTTTCTTCCCTCCTTCTTTTCAAATAGGGGACGCCCTGCTTGCTCTGAGGCATCTGTCCTACAGTCTAAATATCTAATTACTCTGCAGTTTTGTGTAGGGCAGACCCACGCTGTCTTATTTATCTTGTCTGACCAGTAGACCTTGTAAAGTGTGGCAGTATTTCTAGGTACACTCCTACCAGTATTATTTGGGGGAAGTTGATTACCTTTTCCACTTGCTTCTGTCGGTGAGGCCCACATGAGGCCCACGTTTATTTATTTTTTTAATGTTTCTTTATATTTGAGACAGAGAGTGTGCACGTTCGGGGGGGAGGGGCAGAGAGAGACAGAAACAGAATCCGAAGCAGGCTCCCGGCTCCGAGCTGTGGGGCTTGAACTCACGAGCCGTGAGATCACGGCCTGAGCTGAAGTTGAACGCTTGAACCAACTGAGCCACCCAGGCGCCCCTGCGAATTTATTTTAATTATTCTCAGAGCCACCTTGTAGTTTGGGTCCGTGCCAAACTTTGGTCTTTGCCCACCAGTAACTAGCCTTCCACACTCCTTCAAGCTTTGGAGAAGAAAGGTCCTTGCCAGCAGGCCAGTGGCTTATTCTGCACCCCCGCCCCCTGCTTTAGGCAGCCTCATGTCCGGGGCGCGTGGCTGAAGGGTCAACACTGTGTGGACTGTGAGAAGGGAATTTGGTTGTGGTGAGATTTAATTTGGTCGGAGGGTGTTGTACTGCCAGGATGTCCTAGCATATGCGGGTAAGTGTCACCAGCCTGCCAGTCAGCTGCCTGCCTCCTTACTCGCATCTCTTCTGCCCCTACCTGTCCCCCACCCCCCACCCACACCCCCCATGAGGTTTTGACTGGTCAGGCAGTGCCGAAAGTCTCTAATGAGGATTGGCTTGGAGTTCGGAGAGAGAACCTGCCAGCTGCTCAGCACAGCTTTTTAGCTCTTCTCTGGAGAGGCTGGAGGTGCAGAGGTAGGAAGAGGAGAGGCAGTTAGTTCAAGGCGGTGATGTGGCCAGAAGGGAGAAAGTAGAAAGGGACTAGGACCCAGGAGCTCACGGCTTGGGTCACTGGCCCCGTCTGCTTTAATAGGTCAGCATTAGGGGCGTTTCCCCCCCCTGCCCCTCCCCCCCCGCCGTGGTCACAGAGCTCATCTTTTTGTTCTTAATTAGCACTTTGACATGTGTGAGGCGAAGAATGAGGGGGGCATCTAGACCCAACGCCTTCATATACCAGATGGGGAAACTGAGGCCCAGAGGCCCATCCAGGGTCACACGCCAGAGTCCTCTAGGTGCCTAGCCTCCTGAAGGTGGATGCTTTTATAACACGAGTTTGGGATTGCCATATGTCAGTCACTCCTGCATTAGCCTGCATTGTCCTCATCTAGAATCAAGTGTACATTGGGCCCCTGCCTAGGAGGGGGGCCCATCTTGGGAGCAATAGCATTAGCAGCCCAGTGAGACCCTTTGGGGAGGGCGACTGAGCAGGCTGACTGCCACAGCTGGACATGTATGGGGAAAATGGAGTCCATACTTCTGTGCCACCCCATGGCAAGAGAGATGATGGAAATTCTCCCAATGCCCTTTTAGTGACTTCCTGGAAACTCAGGGTTGATTTTTAGGAGGAGCTAGGTCACAATGCTTGAAAACTGAGCTGCGGGGCTTTGCTTGCCACCTGCTTTTTCGGTCTTGCCTGGCCCCACTGGCCAACCAAGCTTCTAAGACACATGGGCGTGCATAGCGAACGGGAGGCAACAGCAGCATCACTAGCATGGCCCAAAGACCTCCCACCTGGGGGCAGTCATTGCTTTGACTAGGATTTCTTCTTAACTCATCATGATCCCCACCCCTTTCTGCCCTAACGTAGCACTCTTCCTGTCTTTCTCGCTAGCACCCAGTGTTGTGCCTAGCAGTGCGATTTTCATGATGTCCGCTCCATTAGCCACCCAAGCTTCCTGGTTCTTTAAGCTAAACGGACAGTGGGTAGGGGGTGGAGGGAGATGGAAGGATGGTCATGTTGCTCATGCCTTTGGCCAGTGGCAGGAGGGACTCAAGTTCTCTTCTTAAGTACATGTCAACATCTTAACTGGGGCACCGGCAAGCAGGTTTCCATCTTAAAGACCTTAATCCAGGATTAAAGAGAGGTCAGTTACCTCTGCAGAGAGGTGATTAGTCTCCCCTAATATCCTGTAGTGGACAGAGGTAGAAGGCCTACCATGGTTATCTGCCTTTCCCAGGGGGGGCCAGAACTCTCTAGACATCCCAGACTTGTACTGAATTCCCGAGTCCTGAGATTTGGCCATTTCCTTACACTTGAGCAGCGCGTCTCTCAGCACCTCCCTGTTCGCACACATTCCTTCATGGTAATTGGGGTATGTCTTAGGTTGGAAAGAGACTCTGGAAAGGACTCAGACAAATTTGCCTTGCGGGAGCTTTATTGGGAAATGGCCCTTGGGAACAGACCTGTAAGTAAGTGACCGAATCAGAATTGGACAGAGGAAGAATTTAAACTTTAACGAACTTGCAGGAGGCTTTGACCAGTTCCGTGAAAAGCTCTGGCTCTGGAGTGGCCTCGCAGAGTTATCCCAAATTGAGGCAAAGGAGCAGGATTTCATGACCTCTTGGGGACAGATTGTCCATTAGGTGTGGTCTGTCTTTACGGAGAAGGCATTATTCTTCCGTGAGGCTGTTCTCTTTGGTCCAGGGCAGTTTGGAGCTGGGAACGCGAATGCCTGTTTCTGGGAGGCAGAATTACCACTGCATGATAATATTCCTGCATGTGTCTCGGACCCAGGGACTTGCACTTGACCTTACTTACATCTTCTCTTCCTCCCAGTCGCCCTTTTGTACAACAGGTGTTATCTCCCTTTGACAGAGAGGGTCACATGTGGAGGGTCTGAGGGTAGCTGGTGGCAGACCATATCCAGAACTCGGTGACTGGGTGGCAGAAAGAACACTGGACTGAGTGGTCTGTGTCATTGTTTAATCCTCTTCCATGCTAACCTGTGTTAACCCGGGGATTGAGGGCTAAGTTAAACTTAAAACTGCTTAATTTGCATAATTAAGTAATTAGATGAGCTCTGTGCCCATGTTTTAAAGGCCTTCAGCCTTGCTTGTGGCCACCCTCCTCGCAGTCTCTTGTTCAGGACCTTCTTGCTTGAGCAGTTATAATTGCCTGGAAAGAGGACAACTTGCTTTTTTCTGTTAGGTGACCTTCCATATTTGGCCCTTCGGACTCCAGCCCCACCTGATACCTCTTCGCCCTTTCTTCTTCGATGTCTCTCTGGCTTCTGGACCCCGCATCGATTCCTGCCCCTACCTGCTTCCCACAGAGTCATGATCAGAGATGATTTCATTTATCCCCAATCCCATTTTTTTCCTCTTCGGGAATCAACTCCAGTTAGTTGCCTGGAACTTTCTGCCCACAAGGAGTGGTGTTCGATCATGTGCTTTCTCAGCGGGGGTGGGGGACAGAACAGTCTGATGCCAGCCACCTTGTATAGATTCTTGCTGTGGTCACTGAGCACCTGCCCGGATTCTGTAAATCTAGGAGGAGAAATTTTCACTGCATTGAAGAATATCACCAAACTTACCCAAACTTGTACTCTCTCTCTTTTTTTTAAAAAATTTTTTTTGATGTTTCATTTATTTTTGAGAGACAGAGAGACAGTGACCGTGTGAGTGGGGGAGGGGCAGAAAGAGAGGGAGACACAGAATACGAAGCAGGCTCCAGGCTCTAAGCTGTCAGCACAGAGCCCAATGCAGGGCTCGAACTCACAGACCGCCAGATCATGACCTGAGCGGAAGCTGGATACTTAACCGGTTGAGCCACCCAGGCACCCCCATCCTGTCTTTTAAAAAGAGCGATTTTCAAAACCAGAAGAATAGAACAAATGTAACTGGGTGGAATTAAAACCCAAATATCAAAGCATAAGAGACTCTTAAAAGCTGAGAACAAACTGAGGGTTGATGGGGGGTGGGAGGGAGGGGAGGGTGGGTGATGGGTATTGAGGAGGGCACCTTTTGGGATGAGCACTGGGTGTTGTATGGAAACCAATTTGACAATAAATTTCATATATTGAAAAAAAAAAACCAAATATCAGAGAAAAGAACAGAGGGCAATTTTGACTTTCTTAAAACTTGCTTAAGTCTCTAGTCCTCGATGAGAGACATCTCAGGTGTACCGAATAAACTTGCAGATGTGCTCATAATCTTTCTTCTCTTCTGTGAAATTGGTCAAATTCTCTTCTGTGAAATTGGAATAATATTAACTGAGATATAACCCAATGTAACCTTCATAATGTGCCTAGAACAAGACCTGGCATGTAGTTCTCAATGAGTATCAGTTCTGATTATTCATTGGAAAATCATTAAAAGAGAGGAAAAATGTCTTAGATTAAAATAATTGATTTCTAGGGAATTCAGATTATTAGACTATACTTTCAGAAGTAATTTCTCTGTATATTTTGAAAGTTTATTTATTTATGTTGAGCGGGGAAGGGGCAGAGAGAGAAGAGAACATCCCAAGCAGGCTCTGTGGAGCCTGATACAGGGCTCGATCCTACGAACTGTGAGATCATGACCTGAGCCGAAATCAAGAGGTGAATGCTTAGGGGCGCCTGGGTGGCGCAGTCGGTTAAGCGTCCGACTTCAGCCGGGTCACGATCTCGCGGTCCGTGAGTTCGAGCCCCGCGGCAGGCTCTGGGCTGATGGCTCAGAGCCTGGAGCCTGTTTCCGAGTCTGTGTCTCCCTCTCTCTCTCTGCCCCTCCCCTGTTCATGCTCTGTCTCTCTCTGTCCCAAAAATAAAAATAAACGTTGGAAAAAAAAAAATTAAAAAAAAAATAAATAAATAAAAAGAGGTGAATGCTTAACCAGCTGAACCACCCAAGTGCCCCAGAAATAATTTCTATATTACATTACTAGAGAATTAAGGTGGAAGTCATACAGACCAGTGGTATCTAAATTTTTGCCGCATTTGCAGTCACCTGGAGATCTTTAAAAACATCCCCAGACATTCTGATGTAATTGGTAGGAGGTGCGCCTGTGCACTGGGAATGTGTAAAAACGTCTAGGTGATTCTGAAGTATGGCAAAGTTTGGGAACCACCTGCATAGACCACTCAGTGGATGTACAATTGATCCAGGCTGAAAATCTAGAATGGATGGTTGGGAACATTTGGAAAAGAAAAAGGTGATACTCAGAAAAGCTAACTCTTCTGTTTGTGTAGGATTAGAAGAAAATTGGGAGAAGGGGGTTGGTGGGCATGGCGAATGGGGCTTTCTTTGACTAATATATAGAAGGAGCCCTAAGCCCTGAAAGTTCTGTTCCCAGTGGGATAGGGGCTAGGTCTTCTTATCTGACTGCCCAGAGCCTATGTGGCTTTTATAGCCGCTAAAGACTGGGCACTGGCTCAGTGGGGGCACAGGCTCTCCACAGAGTGAGAGCAGAGCCGTGTTAGAGCTGCCCGCACCCTCAACGCCTTCCCCCATGTCTTGCTTCAGGTTTTAATTACATAGACATCTCTGCTCCTCATGTGAGAGATGCAGTATTAATGCGATGTCTTGGGTTACAGCTGGGTCACAGGCAATCAATATACCCTTTCGGACACCCCCGACCCAGCTTCCGTGGTTTAAAGTCTGAGCTGGGGGAACTCAGGGCAGGGTGGAAGCGTGCGGATTGTCAGTTCTCTTGCATGTGTGGTTCATAACACATGGGCAATATCCTGAGCGTTAAATCTGGAACGAGTTGTTTAGTGGGGTCTTAGGAGCATCTGTCGACCAGGGTACCCCAGCTCTTGTGCACTACAGAGACCAATTTGAAAGACCCTTCATGGTGGCCCCTTGTTGTATTTTGATTTCTTTGGGTATGTGTGGACCTCTCTGGCTGACAATTTAACTTCTTCCTTCTCCTGTTCCATCTTTGTGAAAGATTGATGTGTTTATACGTCCCATTCACACTGCCTTGGCCCTTTGTCGCTCTTTGCAGCCAGTTGATGGAGGCAGCATTTCAGCATGGATGACTGTGGAGTCCAGAGTGCTGAGAGACCTATCCTGGCTTCTCGGTCCACTGTCTCTGTGACCTGAGGAAATTATTTAAACTCTGAGTTATCTCCCTGTAAAGTAGGGTCGATGGGAAGAGGAAATGAAGGAACACATTCTAAATCCACAAAATCTCCGTCTGGCTCATAGAATGCTCTTAGGTACTTTTAGTCATTATTACTGCGTCACTTGAGGGCGGGGACAGTGCTTCTTTTCGCTCATTGCTGTGGCAGTGTATCAGTGAGCCTTCTGTCAGGAGACAGCACATACATGAGTTGAACAGGGATGATATAACGTTGAGAATCATTAACAGGTAAACAGAAGGCTCTAAAGAACGTAGGAATAACAGATGTAGGGAGCAGCCACCACCTTTAGGATTGAGGCAGAGACCCCAACGAAGGAAAACACCTACAAGGGTGATCCCCATGCAAAGGTGGAGATCCACGTTCACTGGAGACAGTGTGGGGGTGGCCCAGTGTGGGGGTGGCCCAGTGTGTGGCACAGAAGGTTGTCGAGGTGCCGCAGGCTGGGGCTGGTCAACAGGCAAGTGCCCACTAGGGGCGCCAGTGAGGCTTATTAGGCCAGTGGAGTGTTCACCAGGTACAGCTCCAGCATCATGAGGCAGGGCAAAGAAGGATGGATTTGGACCTGAGGGGCAATAAATGGATAACTGGCCTGAGTAGGAGCAATGGGACTTGACTTGCAGTGTCATTGCAAGGGCTAAATGCAATATCATGATTGTAACTGCTTTTGGTTAAGTGCGGTTACTTAAAAAAAATTGTTTTTTTAAGATTTATTTATTCTTGAGAGACAGAGACAAAGCACAAACGGGAGAGGGGCAGAGAGAGGGAGATACAATCTGAAGCAGGCTCCAGGCTCTGAGCTGTCGGCACAGAGCCTGACGCGGGGCTTGAACCCACGAACCACAAGATCGTGACCTGAGCCGAAGTCGGACGCTTAACTGACTGAACCACCCAGGTGCCCCAAGTGCGGTAACTTTTGAAGTGCCTTTTACTTCATAGGTGTTTGTTTATGGAGGTAGCATGGTGTGGTGAAAACATAGGTTTTAGAAATACCTATGTGACCTTGGATAAGGATAGGCTTTTTTTTTTCTTCTAAGTTTTATTTATTTTCAGAGAGAGAGAGAGAGAGAGAGAGAAAATATCCCAGGGAGGCTCTGCACTGCCAGCACAGAGCCCAGTGTGGGGCTCAAACCCACAAACCGTGAGATCATGACCTGAGCCAAAGTCTGACACTCAACCAACTGAACCAGGATAGTTTTCTATATTTAGTTTTCTCATCAGATTAAAAAGAAGTTTTATAAGTAAATAAGATATGTGCCTAGCACACGGTAGATTCTCAGTAAATGTCCTATCTCTATTCCTTTTCCCTCTTTGGTTTACCAAACACTTCAGGGATCTCCTAGATTAGCACCTGTATTTTGGATGATGGTGGTAGTAATGTAATCGGGTTCACTTCAGTCGATCATTCCCCACAATTCAAGAAATTCAGATTTAGTTAAAATGAAAGTACTACTTAAAAAAGTCTTTTGTTTTCATTGGGATGGGAGTAGAGTTCAAAGACAGAATAGGACCTTATCCTTTGTCTCCCATTTTTGTCAACAACAATTACTAAGTGCTTGAGGTGAACAAGATACTAGGTGCACGCCAACCTTCTTTCTATAGAATGTGATTGACCGGGACTATGTCGAGTGGGACCGGATTGGATTTGCAGGTGCACCTTAACTTCTCTTTCTTCCCCCGATTCCTCCAGGGTGCGCTTTGGAAAGTGCTTTTGATATTGCACAGGACTCAGAAAACCTCTTTGCCTCTTCAAAAATAGAAACTAATGTCAGCTTTCCATATCTCTAAGGGAAAGGTTTAATTCAGGAAAAGATACCTACTTTCACCTCCCATTTCCTAAATTCATTTACAGAAAAGCAGTTTGGGAATTTAGGTGCCAAATAGCTCAGCTGTTAAAAGGCGGAGGTTGAGTCTGGGGGTGTCAGTTGCATCTGCAGAAAGCCGGTTTGCTCCTTTCGGATCACAGGTCTTCGATCTCTTAGACTCAGCGGCCTCTGCAGAGTTTGTGCTGTGACTTTCAGGGACGACGAGAAAGCAGTGCAAATCTAGTAAGCCCTCTTAGCACAAGAAGGCCCCTGCCTGCCACCCT